TGTGTGTGAGTCTGACAGTGTGAGGGTGAGTGTGTGTGTGTGAGTCTGAGAGTGTGAGAGTGAGTGTATGTGTGTGTGAGTCTGAGAGTGTGGGGGTGAGTGCATGTGTGTGAGGGTCTTAGTTACCTAGAGTGTTATACAGGTAGGAACAACAGGTTCCACACTGCCCACCAGGGATTCTTTTTCTGTCTGTCATGCATATCCGGAATTCCGCCCACCCATGCAACTCCCCACCGAACACCGAGCTACGCCGCGATTGGTTGACGATGTCGGGGAGAGTGGGGGGGAAGGGTAAACATGCCCACTCATCCAACTGCCCCCCCCCCCCCCTGAACGCCGCGCTGTCCAACCAAGTTCCTACCTGCCCACTCCGAAAGAACGTGTAACCTACTCACTCCGGCTTATGCCCGCCCTCACAGTCGGGCATATTTGCGGAATACACCACGTCGCCGTTGACCCTGGCCATTGACCGAGCAACCCAACGTTACTACCAGCTCCCTCCGCAGGTATGTGTTTAAAATACGATGTCACAGTAATCAAGTAGAGGCAGTATGGTAGCTTTTATCAATTCCAAACGGAACATAGGGGGGAAGCAGTGCTTGTGTCGATACAGAAAACCAATTTTTATTTTTGTCTTTTTACTAATATAATCAATGTGATCTTGAAAATTCAGGTTTGAATCAAGGATGACCCCAAGATACTTATAGATCTTGACTTGCTCTATTTGATAATTATTTAAGGAATGTAATTGGGGAAAAATAACTTCCCGCTTTAGTATTGGTGAGAAGCATAGCAACTTGGTTTTGGAGGTATTCAGGACTAGCTGATGTTGTAGTTTGTTGAAATCACCCTGGAGCTTAGCAATCATGTCATCCGGAGAGCGGCCAGCAGTAATCAATATCGTGTCATCTGCAAAAAAAGATTTACCCTGGAATGTTCCAGGTCAGTGCCCAAGTCATTGACATAAAGAGAGGATAAGAGGGGGTCGAGGATGGAACCCTGTGGAACCCCTGTTGTTATCTTAACACTGTTTGACCTCCAGCCATCTATGAATACAGTTTGGGTGCGAGAAGAGAGTTTTCTGGGCCTCAAATATTGGAAGAAGTGGTTTGCTGATGTGCCATCTGTTGAGAAAGTACAGAAGGCAATCCAGAATTTGAGACCAGAAAAGCGCTGGGCAGAGATGATCACCCAAGCAAAATGCTGAGGGAGGGTGGCGTTTGTGCACAGACTGCCCTATATGACATCATGATAACAGTCTGGACCACTGAACCATACAGACTGCACAGACTGTAACAACTACAGGGGCATCTCCATCCTCAGTGTGCCAGGAAAGGTCATGGCAAGGATTATTCAAACCGGAGTTCCAGGAACGCTGAGGAGAGGCTTGTGAAGCCCAAATGTGGTTTCTGGAAAGGGCGGTCTGGCACAGAGGCCAAATTTTACGTCCGTTTGCTACAGCAGTGGTGTCAAAAATTTCAACAGGAGCTGCATCTCTGCTTTATTGCCCTGGTTAAGGCCTATGATACCATCAGTAGGCCTGAACTGTGGGCAGTTCTTCGTGCTTTCATAATGGTGGAAAGGCCTGGGTAACACTACCTGGCCGGGAGTCGGAGCCATTCCCTGTTCACCTTGGGGTGTGGACAGGGTTGTCCTCTGGCTCCCACATTATTTCACATCTATTTCAACCACGTAGTTCGTAAAACCTTCGATGGCTGTACCTGAAGAATTTCCATCTGGTACAGATAGAATGGGAGGCTGATCAATGCCCGGGTGTGGTCAAGTGATGGCTCCCTATTCGTCTGATATATGTATGCTGATGATCTGGTGATTGCTGCTTACTCAGAGGAGGAGTTGGAGCATGCCACTTAGAGGTGGGGAATTACCATCAGCCTCACCAAAACTAAGCACCTGTAACTCCAAATTGGTGATGGGACAGTTGTGGAAAGAGTGGAGAGTTTCACATACTTGGGCAGTATGCTCATGACTGGCTCCGGTTTGACAGCACGTATCAATCGAGCGGCATTATCTTTTCGTCGGCTGCGTAACGCTGTATGGAAGCTGCCTGGTCTGTCGCTCCACACGAAATTTCAGGTCTTCTCGGCCACGATTCTTGTGAAACGTGGACCCCTTTAATGGAACATCTTCATAGATTAGAAACATTTAGGTTGGCCTGCCTATGATCCATCCTGGGTTTAACCAGGCTGGATTGTGTGGGGAGCTCATAAATTGTTGAAAGATCTGGACAAAGTCCCATCGGTGAGCTCCTCTAGCAAGCAAGGCTGCGTTGGCTGCGTCATGTCACTCGCATGCCCAGCCACCGCATGCCTAAACAGCTTTTGTTCGGCCGGATAGAGCGGGGTAAACAGGCGCGGCACATGCTAGAGAAGAGATGGAATGATGTGGTACAGGAGGAAGTGGAGCTGAGGGAACTTGCCAATGACTGGTACCAACGATGTCAAAATCGGCCTTTGTGGAGGAAGCTAGTGAACAACGCTACTGGGCAGTTGTATGGAGTCGCCCTCCAGCAACAAACCGAGGGCAGAGGAGCGATGCTCACAACAACGAGCGGAGCGCCGTGCGTATAAAACAATAGGGGGGCACAGGTGGTGCATCGGCCAGTCACCTCAGTCAGTCAACCCATGGCACCTGGGTCTGCCCCGTGACCTCCTGCCAGCGGGCGTTCAACACTTCACGTGACCTTAACATGCATATATAGCCTGGCACAAGTGCCATTGTGATATCACCACCACTTAGTGGCGAATGGCGGTTGTTGTTGTGAGTGTGCGTCAGTGTGTGTGTGAGTGTGGTGAGCGGTAGTGTAGCCATTAGTTCGAATCGCATTTCACCGGCAAACACCAGTGACGATTCTCTCAACTGGTCCTGGGCCTCAAATGAGTACCTGGTGCGGTGTGTAAACATCACCACTAGGGAGACAAAGGCTGCCGGGCGTGCTACTGGCCACTCATCCCCTCGTGTGCCGTTTTCGGCCTTCATATGTGCTCGCTAACAGCACTTGCCCCTACATCACTATTGAGGCTACATGGGGGATATTTGTGTGTTTGTGTGCACATAGGTGCTGCTACTTGCTACTTATAGAATATTTGTCTTGTGTGTGTGGGGAGCGGTAGTGTAGTGGTTAGCGCACTGCATTACGAAACTGGCCACCCGAGTAAAATTTCTGCTCACGGCCAACACCAGTGACGATTATCTGACACTGGTCCTGGGCCTCCCCTATGTCGACTCAGCCTCAAATGAGTACCTAGTGCGGTGTGTAGTAAACATTGCCACTAGGGAGATAAAGGTGGTCGGGCGTGGTGCTGGCCACCCTCCCCCTCGTGTGCCGTGCCGGCCTTCATCGGCAGTGTTTGCTAACATCACTTGCCCCAAAAGCCTGCTTAGGCTATATGGGGGGTCTTATTTTTGTATGCACGCGTGTGTGGGGGGGGAGAGGGGGGACTGCAACGGTTAGCACGCTGTGCTACGAACCTGGCGACCAATATTCAATTGTAGGGCTCCATCTCCAACTCGACCGGGGGCAACCAGCCGGAGCCCCGGTGTCCCAGGCTCCATCCGCCACTTCGTCATCATGGGACAATCTCGACTCCACGTTCCTCTCTTTTCTTTTTACAATCAGAGGAAGCAAGACGATGCTCGGTGTAGTCGGCACTTTGCTTCTTTCATCATTTCATTTTTTTATGCTTTGCTTTACGTAACCCCCCCCCCCCTCTTTTTTAATGAAAGATTTCACAATATATTTCACGCTCTGCTCTCCTTACCCCTTCTCTCTACCTCCCCCCCTCTCTCTACCCCCTCCCCCTCTTTCTACCCCCCCTCTCTCTACCCCCTCTCTCCCTACTCCAGGTCAATGTTCCCCCTATGTTTTCTATGTAATATTTGTAATATTACTATAATTCATTTTACATTTTTAAAATGTATTTTTACGGCAAGTGCTGCATCTGCACCCAGCCCTTCTCGCAGTCCTACGGCCTCCGACGGGTAGCTCATCGTCTGACTCCAGTGTCGGATGGTGTGTTCGTTTTGTCCAATATGCGTGCCTAACGGGACATCCTGGCGCGACATTCAATCCACGACTTACACAGAAACCGGGGACTCCATGCCATATACAGCCTCGCTAACACCTTTATTTCCGGCGCGCACAACCCCTTTAAAGAAAACGGTCCAGTCGGTACGACCCGAAAGTGCATTGCAAGAAAAAAACTTCTCCAATGCTTCCTAACCCACCCAGTCGACCAAGCGTCCTCCCTCGTAGCTCCAGTAACTGGCGTTGCACGGACTCTGTGAGCGGCGAAGAGAGTGGGGGGCTTGCCGAGATGTCCACGGCGAAGACTTCGGAGACAAGACGGCCCCCCCCCCTCGTTCCCGGCGTCTCACCTTTCATTTTCAACTTTGAAGAACCCATGTCACGTGACGATGCGGCGCAGCCAATCGTTAGCCTACCTGTGGCGACATACAGGGACCTTTCCTCTCACAGGACCGCGGTTCCCTTTCATTTACCCCGAACCATTGTCCGCTTTTCCCGCCACGTTTCACCCTGACGCTGTTTCTCAGGCGTGGAGAACTCATCGCAGCTGACCCGGTCATTTTTGGGGCCGTCCATAAAATGACGTCACGTGATTTAGGACAATTTTTGCCCCCCCTCCCCTTCGTCACACGACATTACAAAAAGTCAGAACCCCCCTCCAATATGACGTCACAAAGCTCTGCCCCCCCCCCCCATTTTTTTTTACATGCTTCAAATCGCTTTAAACTATTGTCATTGTAGTGCGTATTTAATGTGGCGCTGCACTCTGATTTTGTAGGAGAAAACATTTATTCAAAAGTCTTTAATTAAGTAGAACATGTTGTCTATATTTATTTAAAGTTGCGCATTTTGATGTGACGTGACATTTCTCACCCCCCCCCCCCTCGTCACACATCGTCACAAATGTCTGACCCTCCCCCCCCCCCAGGTGCGTGACGTCATTTATGGACGGCCCCTTTTTTGTGTGCCCATACCACTGTCAAGCCAATTCAGGGACGCTTCAATGTAAACTACCCTGTTGGGTAGAGCCAAACTCCTGGACCCAGGACACAGGTGGACATTCCTCGGAATCCTCGAAGTAAAACCCAACTGATAGACCCCGGTGATCCCCAATGAGGACACTACTTGTGAGTGAGTGTATTCAATCGTGGGGTAGAGGGGGGATGTTTTGGGGCCAGGGTGCAGTTGTCGAGGGTGCAGGGGGGGCGGCGCCAGCAGAGTGGCTTCGATGCTGTGGCATCAGACAATTCTCACTCACGATCAATACCTGTGAAGATTATCTGAACCAGTCCTGGGCCTCCACTCGGTTGACTCAGCCTCAAAGGAATAGCGGGTGCGGTGTGTAAACATCGCCGCAGGGGAGACAAAGGCAGCCGGGCGTGGCGCTGACCACTGACCTCGTGTGCCACAGTGCCGGCCTTCATAGGCGTTGCTCGCTAACAGCACTCGTCCCGACAGCCTGTTAAGGCTACATGGGAGATCGTTGTCGTTGGGGTGTCTGTGTGTCTCTGTGTGTGCCCCTTGTCTGTGTGTGTGCCCATTGTCTGTGTGTGTGTGCCCATTGTCTGTGTGTGTGCCCATTGTCTGTGTGTGTGTCCATTGTCTGTGTGTGTGCCTATAGTCTGTGTGTGTGTGCCCATTGTCTGTGTGTGTGTGCCTATTGTCTGTGTGTGTGTGCCCATTGTCTGTGTGTACGCAATTGTGGTGCCTCATTGTCCCCCTTCCGACTACAAGCTAGAATCAGGACTCAAGGTAAGTGAAAATAAAATATATATATGCATTTACGTGACTTAATGTTATGTTTTACTTACTATACAGTAATGTTTTTTTACGGTGTTGCCTGAAAATGTATAACATATCTTCCTAATTATGATTTTAACGATGCTTCCATTTTTGTTGAACCGTAACACATTTCATAACACTGACCGTCTGGGCATTTAAAAAACAGTGCATTATTTTATTCCGACTTACGAACCGTTGGACTTACGAACGGGTCTCAGGAACGACTTGGGTTCGTAACCCGAGGACTGCCCATAGTGTAAAGTTTAGTATGTGTAGTGTATAGTGTAGTGTATAGTCTACAGTAGTATGTGTGTATGTTGAACTTATTTCGCACCGTATGTAGCCAATCGTGCTAATCGGAGGTGCGGGGGAAGGACAAAAAAATGTAACACAACAAGTAGTTCTAAAAAGAATAGTTTCCAATGTAGTAGTGTTGTGTAAAGTGTATATTAGTGTAGTGTATATTAGTTTGTATGTACATTGAACTTCGTGATAATATAATCAGAGGTGCGGGGGAAGGACAACTAACACACAAAAATGTGTGCGAGTGACTCGGTGTTATGGAAGAGTCAGCGAATCAGTGCCAGTTTGTAAGTCACCACACACGATTGAAGTTCTTCGGAGCCGGTGATCTGCACAAGGCCGTGTGAGTGATTTGGCAAGTGTAGAATCACAAACTCACACCCACTCCGTGATGACAGTTCTGTCAATCCGGTGGTCTTGGCAAGGCTGTCCAATTGACTGAGTGAGTGGGTGAAGTCAGCGAGTCACCACACGCCATGATAGCAGTTCTATGAATCCGATAGTCTGGGCAAGGCTGAGTGAGTGGGTGTGAGTCAATGAGTCGCCACACACGCGATAGCATTTATGTCAAGCCGGTGGTTTGGGCAAGGCTGTGCACGTGAGTGAGTGGGTAAGTCAGCGAGTCGCCACACGCGACGGTAGTTCTGTAGTGCTGGCGGTTTGGGCAAGACTGAGTGACTTAATGAGTCAGTGGGTGTGAGTTTGTAAGTCACTACATGGCGTGGCAGTTCTGTCAATGCGGTGGTGTTGGCAAGGCTGTGCTAGAGACTTAGTGAGTGAGCTGCCACACACATGCTGTGATGGAAATTCTGTCTAGGCCGGTGGTCTGGACAAAGCTGAGTGGGTGAGTGGATAAGCCAATGAGTGGCCACACACCATGACAGTTCTGTCGATTCGGATGTGCGAACAAAGCTGTGCGAGTGGCTGACTTAGTGATTCCCTACATGCATGCCGTGATGGCAGTTCTGTCGATGCAGTGATGTGGGCAAGGCTGTGCGAGTGACTTTGGGTGTAAGTGGGTAAGTCAGCGAGTCACCGCACGCGATGGCAGTTCTGTTGATCCGGTGGTCTGAGCAAGGCTGTGCGAGTGACTTGGTGAGTCAGTGAGTCACGACGCAGGCTGCGATGGCAGTTCTGTCGATGCGGTGGTGTGGGCAAGGCCGAGAGCGTCATATCAGCAGGAGCAGGCCTGCTGAGCGTGGGCCCCTCCCGCCAGGATCACCGGGGCATCCCCCCGGCCAGCATTGTCCGACGAGGCGGAGGGGAGTCTCTCGCAGACAAGGTCCACGAGTGCGTCGAAGGTCTCGGCCACGCCGAGGTTCTCCTTGGAGCTCGTCTCACGGAAGCCGAAGCCTCCACGGCCCCCAGAGAGAGGGGAGAAGGGGGTGTGGGGGGGGGTGGGAAGAGTGAGGATGAGGGGGAGAGCGGGGAGAGGGTTGGGACGAGGGAGAAGGGGGATTAGGGGAAGGGAGGTAAGTAGGGAGAGCGAGCGGGAGGGAGAGGTGGGGAGAGGGGGGGATGAGTCGGAGGGAGAAGATCAGATGAAAGGGAAGGGAGAGGGGGGGAGAGAATGAAGGAGCATGGGGGAGAGTGGAGAAGAGGGGGATGGGGGGAGTGAGAGAGAGATAGTTGTCTATACACAGAACTCCTGAATTCACCTCTGCAAGTTTTGTTTATTCGCGATTTTATTTTTGCCTTTTTTAGTGTGGATTGTATTCCCCGACGATACGTTATTAGCTTTATATACCTTTTGATAACGCTTATGTTCATACAGTGATCCCTTGTAAACCGCGAATTTACCAACCGCGAGATGTGAGCACACCCAGATTGACTTCTGCATACCTGTTTACCAGCCGCGAGCATCTCCATTTGAGTTTATCCAGGGCCTCCTCTACTTACGGGCATTCGATTTACGAACTTCCAGAGATACGAACAACCCCGTCTCTATGTCTAGTTGCCTGTTTGGATCGAGAGCCGTAAGTTCAACCGCTGCGTGATAGATGGGACCCCCCCCCTCTCCTCGGGGGATGGACCAAGGGACGAGTGAGACACATCAAGAGGGCGGCGACTGAGAAGGAACAAGATGGCGGCCTCAATTCAGACCTCAACGAAAAGAAAATCATCATTAGACCTCCTTTGCCAGTACAAACATATTATAATAGGGTTTTCCCCCTTTTTTCTGGCAACAAAACTGAAACCTTTTTATGAGGAATCATGTGTGCGTTAACCACAATACTTGTGGTCAAAATGCAAACTCTGATAATATATGCATTGTCCTTGAAACTGATTGGTCCGCTGTGTAGCCTAACCTAGAGGCACTCCCAGCGGTAGCTATCCCTGTGCGTTAATTTGGTGCCAGTAGGGGTAGCGATGACTGCTGCTGTGTAGTCTACCCTAGGGGCACACCCTGTGGTAGCTGTCCCTGTGCGTTAGTTTGGTGCCAGCAGGGGTAGCGATTTCCATTGTATAGCCTACCCTACGGGCACACCCAGTGGTAGCTGTCCTTGTGCGTTAGTTTGGTGCCAGTAGGGGTAGTGATAACTGCTGTTGTGTAGCCTTGCCCCTGTCAAGGTTGCATGATGGTCGTGGTGGTGAAAGAGGGGTGAGGTGTGTCTTCTTCTGCGTCTTTCTTACCGAGTTGCTCCGCCAGTCGCTTGCCCGTGTCGGTCGCCACCACTCGCTCCGGCTCCAGGTCGCATTTGTTGCCAACAACAATCACCCGGGCGCTGTCCCAGGAGTAGGCGGTGATCTGAGTCGCCCTAGAGGAGGACACCAGGGGAGGGAGGAGGGGGGAGGGTGAGATGTTGACTACCTCGACTGGTATGCAGGAGGTTCGTGGGTTCAATTCCGTAACTGACGATGCCTGCTGCCGTATACGTGGAGACTGTGTGTATGTCTCTCTCTCACAGTGGAGATGTTGACTACCTCGCCCGGTATGCAGGAGGTTCGTGAGTTCGATCCCGTAACTGACGATGCCTGCTGCTGTATATTTGGAGTCTTCGTCTCTCTCGCTCCCCGTGGTGGTCGCTCGAATATTTTCCTCCACATTTAGAATCAACGTGCATTGTGTGGCTAATTACGACATAACATTAAACCAGATCATTACGAGAACACCCATGTCTTAAGTTAGACAGAGTTTAGTTTGCCCTCAGCCCTTGATAAAACTCCTGTTGGATGAAGGCCTCTCTGAGCCATACGCCATGCTAGCTAGGAGATGTTAACTACCTCGCCTGAGGTGCAAGAGGTTTCGTGGGTTCGATCCCGTGACCCTGACGATGCCTGCTGTATACTTGGACTTTTTGTGTGTCTATCTCTCCCAGTGGAGATGTTGACTACCTCGCCTGGTATGCAGGAGGTTGTTGGTTCGATCTCCGACCCTGCCAGATGTTAACTACCTCGCCTGGTATGCAGAAGGTTCGTGGGTTCGATCCCGTGACCTTGACGATGCCTGCTGCTGTATATTTGGAGTCTGAGTCTCTCTCTCCCCGTGGAGATTTTAACTACTTCACCTGGTATGCAGGAGTTCGTGGGTTCGATCTCGTGACCCTATAGATGCCTGATGATGTATATTTGGAATCTGAGTCTCTCTCTTCCCGTGGATATGTTAACTACCTCACCTGGTATGCAGGAGATCGTGGGTTTGATCCCGTGACCCTGACGATGCCTGCTGATGTATATATGGAGTCTGCGTCTCTCTCTTTCCCCGTGGTCGTGTAGATTTTTCTCCGGGCACTCCACTTTTCCCCTCCACAATTAGAATCAACATCACCACGCGTTTTGAGAATTTGGCTGCTGCTATGAATTTCCACGTGACGATAATCGACTTTGTTGAGCTATCATTTGATCGCCAGGTCGCTTTTGAAAAAGAACTATACAGCTCAGTGGGCCTTACTTGGTAAAATAAAAAAAAATTGTTTAGTTTATTGGTCTCTGTGTTTCTCAGGGTCTCTATGTATCTCTATGTGTCTCTAAGGGTCTATATATATATCTCTATGGGTCTCTATGGATATCTATGCATCTCTGTGTGTTTACAGTATTGGGCTGCTGCTATACATTTCTACACGATGATATGCCACATTTAGTTGAGCTATAATTTGTGATAAACAATTTTTATTGTACTAGGTAAGGCCCCACTTAGCAATGTAGCTATCCCTTTTTAAAGAAGACACCTGACAATCATGAATGATAGATCAACCAAATAACTGATATCATCATCCTGTGGAAATTCATAGCGGCAGCCAACTACTCTAAACTCATGACGTTGATTATAAATGTGGAGGATAAAAGCGAAGGGACCGGAGAAAAATTAGCAGGCATCGTCAGGGTCACGGAATCGAACCCACGACCTCCTGAATACCAGGCGAGGTAGTTAACATTTCCACGGGGTGAGAGCTACATGCAGACTCCAAATATCCAGCAGCAGGCATCGTGAGGGTCGGGATCGAACCCACAACCTCCTGCGTACCAGGCAAGGTAGTGGCAACTGTCTCTGTGGGTTAGTCTACAAATAGGGGGCGAAGATGATGGTGGTTAATTGGTGAAGGCGGAGGAAGTGTGCTGATGGTAGTGGTGGTCGTAACGGTAATGGCAGTGATGGTGGTGGTGATGCTAGTGATCAAAGTGATGGTAGTGGTGGTGGTGATGGTAGTGGTGGTGGTGGTAGTGATGGTGATGGTGGTAGTGGACATGGTAGTGATGATAATAGTTGTGGTGATGGTAGTGGTGATGCTGGTGATGATGGTGGTGATGGTAGTGATGATGATGATAGTGGTGATGGTAGTTTATGGTGGTAGTGGTGATAATAGTGATGATGGTAGTGATGGCAGTGATGGTGGTGATGGTGGTAGTGGTGATGGTAGTGGTGGTGATAATGATGGTGATGGTGGTAGTGGTCATGGTAGTGATGATAGTAGTGGTGGTGATAGTAGTGGTGATGGTAGTGATGGTGGTGATTTCGGTGATGATGATGGTAGAGTTGATGGTGGTAGTGGTGCTGGGAGTGATGGTGGTCGTGATGGTGGTAGAGATGGTATTGCTGATGGAGATAATAGTGATGGTGGTGATGGTAGTGATGATGGTAGTGATGATAATAGTGATGATGGTAGTGACGGCAGTGATGGTGATGATGGTGGTAGTCGTGATGGTAGTAGTGGTAGTGGTCATGGTAGTGATGATGGTATTGGATGGCAGTGATGGAGGTGATGGTAGTGATGGTGATGGTAGTGGTGATGGTGGTAGTGGTGGTGGTAGTGGTGACGGTAGTGATGGTGATGGTAGTCGTGATGGTGGTACCAGTCGGTGATGGCTGTGAAGGACTCCTGGCTAGTGATGTCGTACACCAGCAGGAACCCCATGGCGCCACGGTAGTAGGCGGTGGTGATGGTGCGGTAACGCTCTTGACCCGCGGTATCCTGACACGTGCACAGTCGGTGCCATGCTCGGTGCACCCACTCTCTCACTCACTCATACAGCCACCCACTCACCCACTTAACCAATTACCCACTGGCCTACCCAGCCATTCGCTCACTCACCCACCCACACACCCTCTCACCCACTCACCCACCCACCCGTCCCCTCACCCTCCAACCCACTCACCCACCCACACACCCTCCAACCCACTCACCCACTCACTCCCCTACCCACTCACCAACCCTTTCACTCACCCACCAACCATTTGACTCACCTACCCACTCACCTACTCACCCACCCACCCACTCACTGACCCACACGCACCCATTCACTCACTCACCCACCCACCCACCTAGCCATTCACCCACCCACTCACCCACCCATCCACTCATCAACAGTCCCACCTATCCACCCACCCACTCACCGATCCACCCACTCACCCACCGTCCCACCCACCCACCCACCATCCCTCCCACCCACCCACCGTCCCACCCAGCTACTCACCCAGATCTGGAGTTTTATGGTCTTGCCGCCGCGTCTCAGCGTCTTCACCTTAAAGTCGATGCCCACTGTGGAGACGAAAGCGGCCGTGAAAGAGTCCTCCGCATAGCGGAAGAGCAGAGACGTTTTCCCCACCCCGCTGTTGCCTATGATCAGCAGCTTGAACATCAAGTCGAAGGGCTGCTCCACCCCTCCAGCTCCACCTCCAGCTTCGCCTACAGCTATTAGTTCACCAGCACCTCCTCCACCACCACCACCACCTCCTCCTCGAACTTGCTGCTTGGGGTCAGTAGCTGAGGCCATCTAATGAGGGGGGAGGGAGGGAGGAAGGGAGGGGAGGGAGGGGGGGATAGGAGGGGGGACGGAGGGAGGAGGGGACAGGGGGAGAGAAGGGAAGGAGGGGGTGAATTGGGGGGGGGGATCAAACACACCCACTCACACACTAACATAAACTCACACTCGCTCACACACTCTCACTCATACACAGTACTCACCAACAACAACAGCCACCGATCGTCACTAGGTGGTGGTGACGTTACCACGGTACCTGTGCCAGGCCACATGCAGGCCAGGTGCAATTAAAGGCCACGTTAAGTGTCGAGGGATCACTGTTGGCCGAAGGGCACGGGACAGACCCAGCAGGTGCCATGGGTTTACCGACTGAGATGACTGGCAGAATCACCACCTGTGCTCCCCTACTATGTGACCTTTTGCTGTGTTTTATCCACCCGGCGCTCCGCTCATTGTTGTGATTATCGCTCCTCTGCCTTCCATTGTTGGTGGAGGGCGACTGCCTCCAACTGTCTAGTAGCTTCCTTCATCAGCCTCCTCCACAGAGGCCAATCTTGACACCGTTGGTACCAATCAACGGCAAGTCCACTCAGTTCCACATCCACTTGTATGACATCGTTCAGTCTCTTCTCTAGCCCGTGCCATGCCCGTTTAGCCCCCTTTATCTGGCCAAAAAAATCAGTTTAGGCATGCGGTGGCTGGGCATGCGGGCTACATGATCTACCCAATGCAGCCTTGCCTGCTGTAGGAGCTCACAATTGGGACATAGTCCAGATCTTTCGAAGACTTATGAGCTTCTCACGCAATCCAGCTGGGTTAAACCCAGGATGGATCATAGACAAGCCAGCCTGAATGTTTCTAACCCGCCAAGATGTTCCAGGGGAGTGGGGGGGGGGGGTCCACGTTTCACAAGCATAGAGAAGGGAGGGCATGACCGTGGCCGAAAAGACCGGAAGCCTCGTGCGGAGTGACAGACCAGGTTGCTTCCACACAGCATTATGCAACCAATGAAAAGATATTGCCACTCGACTGATTCAGAGTGAGACCTCTGCTGTTAAACCGGAGCCTGTCATGATCACACTGCCCAGGTATGGGAAACTCTCCACTCTCTCCACAACTGCCCTATCACCAATTGGGAGTTGTGGGGTGGAGTGTCCGATGGTACAAAATACCAAGGCAGGTGCTTAGTTTTGGTGGGGCTAATGGTAAAGCCCCACCTCCTAGTGGCAAGCTCCAGATTCAGCAGCAGCGCCTCCTACTCCTCCTCTGAGTGAGCACCAATTACCAGATCATTGGCATACATAACATGGTTGAGCAATAGGGAGACATCCCTTGACCGCACCCGGCCATCGATCAGCTTCCCGTTGTATCTGTACCAAATAGAAATTCCTCCGGTACAGCTATTGAAGGCTTCACGAACTACGTGGTCGAAATAGATGTTAAATAATGTGGGAGCCAGAGGACATCCCGGTTGCACCCCAAGGTGTACAGGGAATGGCTCTGACTCCTGGCCACGTAGTTTTATCCGGGCCCGCTCACCATCATGAAGGTCCTTAATGATCGTGAGCTGAGGGTCAGAGACTCTGAAAGCACGAAGAGCAACCCAGAGCCCAGGCCTACTGATGGTATCATAGGCCTTGACCAGGTCAATAAAGCAGAGATATACTGTAGATCTTGTTGGAATTCCCTACATCTCTGCTGTAGCAGACGGACAGAAAATATGGCATATGTGCAGGACCGCCCTTTCCTGAAACCACATTGGGGCTCTGCAAGCCTTTCCTCAGTCTACCTAACAAGGCGATGTTGAATAATCCTGTGGAGGTGGCCATTGTATTGTGAGAGATTAGCATGGCAATGTAAGAAAACCACCGCAATAGTGGCTGTGTTAGTGAAACATTTAGCCTGTTAATGTTATGATGTCATTAGGGCAGTCAGTGCACAAACGTCATCCTCCCTCAGCATTTTGCTTGGGAGATCATCTCTGCCCGATGTCTTTCCTGGTCTCAGACTCTGGTACTTCCTCAACAGATGGCACCTCAGCCAGCCACTCACAGGGGGTGACTTCTTCTTCCAATATTTGAGGCACCGCAGCCTCGGCAGGGTCATCCCCACTTTGTTCCATGCTGTTTTCCAGGCTGAGGGATTTCCCCTCCCACAGGACCTCAGAAATGATCAGCAAATCTGCAAACCTGTTCCTGGGGGTCGGAAATTGGATCACCGTTCTTTCCCCTAATGATGGTAATATGTGTGGCGCTACAGGTTACTTTTTTATGGAATTAAAGAGCAATTTGTGATCACGGGCCATTGAGGTAGACTCCATCTCCTCAGCAACCTGCAACCTCCACTCATCCTTGCAGTGCCTCATGGCTCTCTGAACCTCCAAGCAAAGGTTACGGTAAGCCTCCTCATTCTCCGACGTGGGATGCTGTAGCCAATGAGAGTGGGTCTGTCGCTTTTTCTCAGCCAGCTTGAACACCTCCTCTGTCAGCCAGGGTTTCTGGTGAGGTCTGGACCGTGTCACCAAAGCAGCCATTGAAGCTGCATGAGCCACAGTCCTAAATCTCGCCCATTTTCCCTCGACATCAGGACGAGTAGGGACGATGCCAACCCTAGCCAGAAGGGATGATGAAATTCTCACTTGAAACTTTCATCAGCTAGCTAAGACCATGCCACTGAGGGTTTGAATGGGGTCTTGGGTGTACACCCACCACTGGAGTGTAGGAATGGCAGGCGCATCTTACAGTTGATGGTCAGTGGGCAGATCAGCTCTACGGTAGGTCCTGGTGTCAAGGACATGGGCCCGCATCCGCTGTTCCGTCGCTATGTAGTCCAGCAGATGTTCTTGCTTTGACCCGGCATGCATCCATGATGTTGTGTGGATGCGCCGATGCCGGAAGAGTGTGTTGGTAATTACAAACCCATAGGCTGCAGAAAAATCGAGCAGCCTCCTGCCGTTGTTATTGAGCTTATCTGGCCCATGCCTTCCAATCACTCCAGACCACGTGCCAGCATCATGACCAACTCGGGCATTGAAGTCACCCAGCAAGATGACTCTATCCCATGGGGCCACTTTAGCTAGCACCTGTGACAGGAGGTCATAGAAGGCATCTGACTCATCGGCCTTGCCTGCATCCCTCCACGGATGTTCGTCTTCAGTGGGGGCATAAGTAACCACGACTCCTCGCCTCTGGTTGATGGAAAGGCGAGCCCAAAGTAGTCTGGGGCTTACAGCATCCCACACCTCACCGCCACGCTCCCACGCCCCCTTCATTCTGTTGTTCATAAGAAGAGCCACTCCCTGTTGTTTGGCAGTCTCCTGCCCCGAAAAGAGGACTGTCCACCCTTCATGGTGGAAGGAACCAGAGCCGGTCCACCGGACCTCCTGAATACCACAGAGGTCCAGGCGGTACCGGTCCAGCTCCTGACAGAGGAGTGGCAGCCTCTCCTCCGCAGTGAGCGTTCGAACATTCCACTTGACCACATGTAGTGTTTTTTTGTTGTTTCTGTAGGAGCCCCGAGGGTAAGGATTCAGTCTCCGGGCTCTGCCAAATGGGGTTTGGCCAGGAGACGTCATAGACGCCTGTCCCGCCGGGGCCTCCGGCACAAGCTTATTAATAAAAATTTTCCGTCGTGGTTTAGTGGTAATTAATTTCCAGGTGGAAGGGTTACCAGCCCCTCGCGGTCATCCGGAGCCCCCATTTGGCCGCTGTGGTGGTTACAAACGCCATGAGGGGAATGGCCAATTTAAATTGGCCCTCCCCCCACGGCACTGCCCACCACAGCCTTGCCGCCCGGCACCACGAGGAGGTAGGGGGTTGATTTTGCCAGACACCAGTACGCCACACTCTACAGTATACACAATGCAGTACACCACATGCTACAGTACACCATGCTACAGTACACCATGCTAGTGAACAGCAGACAGTAATCCACACGAGGCTGCATACCTGGCAACCCATATGGTTTGCTCCGTATCCTTGTACATAGAAACTGAGTTTTCAGGTCCATACGGTGTGCAGCCGTTTCAATACGGGAAACCAAAAAATTGTCTGTTTATGTTTCTCCCTTGTGATGGGACTGTATAGGATGAACGTTGAGATTTATAAGGGGCACAGGGTGACCAATAAGTTCTGAATTGGTCTGTAATAAGGTATGTAGTATTCATATTATTTGGGTATTTCGGTAAAGTCACATAGATAGGTTCAAATAAAATATAAAATCAGAGAACTGAAAAACGGCTCGCTGATTCGGCTCTCTGATTTTACATTAACAGGTTAAATTTGTGTTAATGTAAAATCAGAGAGCCGAAAAACGGCTCTGATTCAACTCTCTGATTTTACATTAACAGGTTAAATTTTTCACACTAACACAGCCACCTCGCTCACTGAGCTCGAGGTTGCTGCTCTGCAGTCTCCATTAACATGCTAATCTCCCACATTAACATAGCCACCTCGGGGCGCTGGCCGTGGAGGCCACTCAACAATCTTACATTAACATCTTACGTAAAAAAAAAGAGATGACATTGTCATCCTCTCAGCCGACAAGGGCAATGCCACTGTCAGCATGGATAAAACCACATACAACAACAAAATCCAGGACCTTCTTAATGATGGCAGTTATACCAAAATCAACAAAGATCCTACCAACCGCCTGGCCACAAAAACCAATAACATCATCACTAATTCGACTTTTCTAATCGAACCGACCAAGCAGCTCTCCCTAAAACCTTCGGCTGCTAGACCACCCAGATTTTATGGCCTTCCAAAAATCCATAAAGAAGTAACTCCACTCCGCCCTATCGCATCCACCATCAACTCACCTACCTACAAACTGGCCCGAATTCTGTCTGAGACCCTGCTTCCATTCACGGGCAAGTCCACCTCGGCAGTATATCACTCAGCTCACTTAGTTTCTCTAATCAAGGACATTTCCCTGTCTCCGGAAGATTATTTGCTTGTCAGTTTCGATGTAGTCTCTCTGTTCACCAAGGTACCTGTACCTGACACCATAGCAATCATTGAAAACTTGGTCCAACATGGACTGAATCCTGATGTACCAACTTTGGCGAGGCACTGCCTTACCAACACTTACTTCACCTGGAATGTTACATTCTACAAACAAAATGAAGGTACCCCTATATGGGTTCTCCTTATCACCAGTGGTAGCGAATGTTTTCATGGAGAAATTTGAAACAGATGCCATCCTGATATCCACTCTACGTCCTTCCCTGTGGAAGAGAAACGTTGATGACACTTTCGTCATCTGGCCACATGGCCAGCCAGCACTGAACCAATGTTTCAACCACATCAAATTCCATACACCTATCCATCAAATTACCCATGGATGTGGAAATGATGGCAAGCTAGCATTCCTGGATGTTTTGATCAAGAAGAGGCCTGATGGCTCGTTGGGACACTCTGTCGACAGGAAATCCACCCACACAGATTCCTATCTGAAACCCAATTCCCACCACCACCCGGCACAGAATAATTCCCTTATCAAAACATTACACCATAGGGCCCATTGCATCTTCCGACCAGCACCACCTAGCCAGTGAACTGGAGCACGTACACCAAGCCCTCAAGATGAATGGATACTCAGATCGCACAATCCGCAAAGCTGTATCTGTAACCATGGGGAGACAACCACCTGAGGACCCAATACAAACCATCACCTTGCCATACATAGCAGGTGTTACCAAAAATATTTCCAAAATCTTAAACAAACATAAGGTCCAGGTCCGATTCAATACAGTACACAAAATCCGTGATTTGATCCGATCTGTGAAGGATGTCATTCCTGACATGCAATACCCTGGTGTCTACAAACTAAGTTGTGTCTACGGCAGCAGTTATATTGGGGAAACGAAACGACATGTCTCGGACCGTGTTCGCAAACACAAGGCAGAACCAATACCTCTGCCGTGGCTGATCACTGTGATAACACTTTGGGCTCGCACAATATTTTTTTCCCGAGATCAAGGTACTTTGCAAACCTTCGGGCAACCATCAAAGATTTGTTCATGAAGCCATCCAGATATATAAATAGAGACAATTTCAACCGAGAAGTAGGGTATAAGCTGAGCAATCATTGGAAGGACGTTATTAACCAGGTTAAGTCATAATTTGCTGTGATGCTTCCATCCTTCTGCCGTTTGGCAGGAAGGATGCCTTTGCATTAACGGGCTGGGGCCTCACTAACATGGCTCCCTTAATTCGATGTATCGATGGTTCTTGCTGTTTTATGGGCTGTGTCTCTCACTGGCATGGCCACCATTGCGGTGGTTCTCTTGCGTTGACACGCTTGCCTCTCACAGCGCAGTGGCCAGCGCCACAGCTTGTGTTAAAAATAGACGTATCATTTAACTTACTAATCTCCCTACATTCTCTCTCTAATCTCCCATTAACATAGTGCTAATCTTCCATTAACACTGCTGCTGTAGCGCATGTGCGGCGATGGTGTTCATATGTGGCGAAGGAAGCTCATTAACTTTGACATGCTAATCTGTCCCCCTAATTCTCTCTCTCCATAATCTTCCCTATTAACACAACTGTTCGTTCTTGCATGCGGGGATGGGACTTCTTTCCAGCTCTGCTTGCTTGCCCTTGGGCTGCACCAACTTCAAACATATATAACCCCTTGTTGTAGCAGCTCTCTCGCTGTGTTCTTCCTGGTTCAGCAGTTCTGCTGCTGGATATTTTTGCCTGAGGACGACCGCTTGTGTTGCAATCGAAACGTCGTGATTTTTATTTTTTTTACCTACGTGACTTTACCGAAAGAATGCAAAAGTATTAACATGCTAATTTTTACTTGGCAGCCCTTTGATTGATGTAAAACCCACCACCGTCGCGGTCGCTGCCCACCACTTACATTAACATTGGCTGGTGACATTTGGGCTATGCCCATCTCAAACCTTTATAAACAGTTTGCCTTTAGAAGCTAACCCCTTCTTCCTTATAACGAACGCTTGAGTTGCGATCGAAACGTCGTAGTTTCATGTTATTTTCTTTGAACCTATCTACGTGACTTTACCGAAAGACCCAAAGAAAATAAATTCCTGCATTCACGAAAGCTTTAAGTGAAGAGGTATGTAGCAGTGTAGTGTATAGTGTAGTGCATAGTGTTGTGTATAGTGTATTGTATAGGATGAACGTTGAAATTTATAAGGGGCACGGGGTGACCAATGAGGTCTGAATTGGTCTGTAATAAGGTAGGGCACTGATAAGGGTTCGACAGGTATGAGGCTGTATCGCACACACTTCTCTATTCAGTACATTAAAACTAAACAATGTGCACATAAATATAAACAGACATGAACACATGCACAAAAATACGCAAACCCACAGACACGAGGACACAAATACAATACACAGATACTCGACAGAAAAAGCACACGTTGTCTCGCACACACACAGACAAAAGGTGCATCTAGATACATACACCCACAGATAAAGATCACCCTGTAGAGACCACAACAGACAACAGACAGGGGTACACACACACACAGGGGTACACACACACACAAGTGTACACACACACACAGGGGTACACACACACACAGGGTACACACACACAGAGGGGTACACACAAAGGGATACACACACACAGGGGATACACACACACACGGGTACACACACACAGGGGTACACACACAGGGTACACACACACATAGGGGTACACACACAGGGTACACACACACAGGGGTACACACAAGGGTACACACACACAGGGGCACACACACAGGGGTACACACACACAAGGGTACACACACACACAGGGTACACACACACAGGGGTACACACACGCAGGGGTACACACACACAGGGGTACACACACACAGGGGTACACACACACAGGGGTACACACACACAAAGGGGTACACACACACACACAGGGGTACACACACAGGGTACACACACACACAGGGGTACACACACACACAGGGGTACACACACAGGGGTACACACACACACAGGGGTACACACACAGGATACACACACACACAGGGGTACACACACAGGATACACAAACACACACAGGGGTACACACAGGGGTACACACACAGGGGTACACACACACAGGGGATACACACACACACAGGGGTACACACACACAGAGGGGTACACACACACACAGGGGTACACACACAGGGTACACACACACACACAGGGGTACACACACACACAGGGGTACACACACAGGATACACACACACACAGGGGTACACACACAGGATACACAAACACACACAGGGGTACACACAGGGGTACACACACAGGGGTACACACACACAGGGGATACACACACACACAGGGGTACACACACACACAGGGTACACACACACAGGGGTACACACACGCAGGGGTACACACACACAGGGGTACACACACACAGGGGTACACACACACAAAGGGGTACACACACACACACACAGGGGTACACACACAGGGTACACACACACACAGGGGTACACACACACACATTGGTACACACACAGGGTACATACACACACAGGGGTACACACACACACAGGGGTACACACACAGGATACACACACACACAGGGGTACACACACAGGATACACAAACACACACAGGGGTACACACAGGGGTACACACACAGGGGTACACACACACAGGGGATACACACACACACAGGGGTACACACACACAGAGGGGTACACACACACAGGGGTACACACAAACAGGGCATACACACACACACAGGGGTACACACACACACAGGGGTACACACACACAGGGGTACACACACACACACACACAGGGGTACACACACACACACAGGGGTACACACACACACACAGGGGTACACACACAGGGGTACACACACACATGGTACACACACACATAGGGGTACACACACAGGGTACACACACACACAGGGGTACACACACACACAGGGGTACACACACACAGCGGTACACACACACAGGGGTACACACACGCAGGGTACACACACACAGGGGTACACACACAGGGCACACACACACACAGGGGTACACACACAGGGGTACACACACACAGGGGTACACACACATGGGCACACACACACACAGGGGTACACACACAGGGGTACACACACACACAGAAGTACACACACACACAGGGGTACACACACACACAGGGGTACACACACACATACAGAGGTACACACACACACAGGGGTACACACACACACAGGGTACACACACACACACAGGGTACACACACGCAGGGGTACACACACACAGGGGTACACACACGGGGTACACACACAGGGTACACACACAAGGGTACACACACACATAGGGGTACACACACACACAGGGGTACACACACAGGATACACAAACACACACAGGGGTACACACACAGAGGCACACACACACACATAGGGGTACACACACAGGGGTACACACACACACAGGGGTACACACAGGGGTGCACACACACAGGGGTACACACACACAGGGGTACACACAAAGCGATACACACACACACAGGGGTACACACACAGGATACACACAGATACACCACACACAGGGGTACACACACAGGATACACAAACACACACAGAGGCACACACACACACATAGGGGTACACACACAGGGGTACACACACACACAGGGGTACACACACACAGGTGTACACACTCACACAGAGCTACACACAATATTCCTAACCCCACGTTACTCACCTCTCTCTCCAACTCTCTCTCCCTCTCTCTCTCTCCACGGAATCTTCAACACCCGGATTCACGTGGCCACGTGACCCTCTCATACACACACTCACACAGACACTCATACAGACACTCACAGTTACAAAAAAAAGACACACATACATACAGACACAAAGAAACACCCAGACACTCACTCATACGTACAACAACAACAACCTACCTTAGCCACTAAGTAGCAGTGATGTCACCATGGCGCTTGTGCCAGGCTTAGTGCACTTTAGGGCCACGTGAAGTGTCGAACGTCCACTGGCAGGAGGTCACGGGGCAGACCCAGGTGCCATGGGCTGACTGAGATGACTAGCCGATGCGCCTCCTGTGCCCCCTAATGTGTACTGTGGTACCACGACTGCGGAGCAACTCCGCAAGCGCCGCGATTGTCCACTACCCCCCACCCTGAGCACACACACACACACGCAGCACTTGCATCCACGTAGTGTCCCTGGCGGGGGATCACCTGGCACCACGGATTTTCATCCGAGGGGCCCCTAGAGGGGAAGTCCCACGGTTTCCCGGTGCCAGGAGATTGGCCGACCGCCCCCCCCCCCCCCCCCTCAGAACAAATGACATTGCGCCCCCCCTAAATTGGCTTACAATTGTATGGAGTGCACAGAAGCTCACCGGGCTAACCGCAAAGATATGCTCACAGCACCGGGGAGCGGCCAGGGTGAAATATTACGCAAGCAGCGCAGACGAGGAGGTGGAAGGGAAATCCCTGTGCACACCGCGGGTGTGTATTCGGCAGCCAGCGGCCTCCCAGATTAAACCGCTTGAGCCAGGGATAAGGAATGCGGGCACTGAGACAATGGGCCGGGAGATAGCGTAACGTAATTCCCGAGGTAACAGCAGCAACGTTTGAAAATCAAAAGGTAGCCCCACGATTGGATGCGCAGGATGACGTAATGTAACCCTGGATTTTCGAAATCCCAGGGCATAAAAAGGGGAACCCGAAACGGTTCAGGGGTCTTCTGATCTCCAGCCGCTTGGTGACCCAGACCGACTCTCGGCCAGCCTGCCTCTTCGAGCCGCTCGCAGCTTCCGTGAGACGCCAGCGAGTGCCGCCACGAGACAGCGATAGGCAGGGTTCTCTCCTAACTCTGTCCCTTCGCTTCTGCTCGCAGAATATTTCCTCCGGGCAGTAGAGGGTTTTGCGCCGTGAATAAACGCTAGCACAGAGCATTTGTGCAGTGTGATTTGTGTGTGTGGAGCAGCTGCATGGGCGGACGAGCGGCGAGAGTGAAGGCAGAGCCGCAGCACGGGTGCTCGTTAAAAGCAATGCCTGCAGGTGCGCGCGTGTTTGCACCGCTGCTGTAGTGTTAACTGTGGTACGTACGCGTATTAGGGTATAATCATCAGCAGGGGCGCGCGTGTTCACGCTGCCGCTATAGTGTTGGTCATAGTACATGCGCGGGTTAGGATATAAACCGCCCGCAGGAGCGCGCGCGTTCACGCAGCTGCTGTAGCATTAGTGTTGGTGTGTGTGCATGTGTGGAATAACCCCGCGTGGCGGTGAGCCAGCGATCTAGTGATGTCTCTCAGAGGGCGCGCTAACGCAGGGGGGCCGATCACCTGGTTTGCGGGGGCCTGGCGGGGGCTGATCGACGCAGTGGAGGAGGGAGTGGAGGGGGCTGATGTCGCGCCCCACCTGCCCGGCGAGGGCAGTGGGGTGGACGTCGGCCCCCACTCCTTCATGAGCCTCTTCCACAGAGGCAGATCTTGACACCGCTGGTACCAGTCATTGGCAAGTCCACTCAGCTCCACATCCTCTTATGCTAAATCATTCCATCTCTTCTCTAGCTCGTGCCATTGACTCACCCACTCACTCACTCACCCTCCCACTCACTCTCTCCCCCACTGACCCATCATCTCCTCTCCAGCTCGTGCCGGGCCCATTTAGCCCCCCTCTATCCGGTTGAACAAAAGCTTTTGGGGCATGTAGTGCCTGGGCATGCGGGCTACATGACCCAGCCAACGCAGCCTCCTCACCTGCCGGGGGTCACCAATGATACAGTTGTTTGTTGTCCTTCCGACACACCTCTGATTTGTGTGGTTGGTGAGGTATGGTGCAAAAGAAGTTCAACTTGCATACATACTATTGTAGTGGATAAAAATGGGAGGAAACTTTCTTGGAGGCAACACGTTTATTATAACATTAAACACTACAACACAAAGAGGTAACGGCCCGTTCCACCCCATACTCTAGGGAGGTATCTCCCGGGCTAGCATGCCTCTCACTGGCTATGTTCTATGCCTACCCTGGTGAGGCTTGAGTCTTCACTGGTTAAAGCTCGAGCCCGACCCTAGCCAGGGGTTTGGGCTCTGCCCTTTGGGCTCTTCTCTTCAAACCTTCAGGAGGCTCTTCAGTCTTCAGGCGGATGACAACTGCCGGGACCGTTCAAGAACCCGGCTTATATACACAGTCCTGGCTCACTCAGCCCCTAGCCACACCTTCCTTTTAGAATCTTCTCCAGGGCTCTGGAGAGTCACGTCATCCCCCCGGACCCCTCCCTGGGGCATGCGGTCCGCACCCTTGGTCACGATGCTCCCCAAGGATTGCCTAGGGCCAACGGCCTAACATCGTTAATCTAGCTGGGTCAAATTTCGATTTAAAGGTTTCGTGACAAGCTGGGTCAGCCTCCCTTCCGCCCCCTATTGATACAGGGCTAGTACTGCCGGCTACGAGTAGTGGCGATCACGATCAACCATGCCACGACATTTACCCCCCCCCCCCCCCTCGCAGCATCCAGCCGTCCCGGCTGCCAACTATCCCCATAAGAGCGTGCAAAATCGGAACAAGTACGTGTGCCTCAAAATCAACGACAACAGAAGCAGGAACAACCTGACATAAATACCCCAGCCCACCTGTACAAATATTACACTATGTACAATTTAACATACACTCCCACACAAGCAAATAAAATATCCGCGCGATCCCCCGCAGCGCCCCCTGCAAGATACGTGCAAATCACGGCAACGACGGCACATCCGACCAAGCGCAAGGCAAACGTAAGGAAGGCCACCGACAGTGGCAACCCGGCAGACGCGAAGGTAGGCGGGAAGGGTCACGAAAATCTTGGGGCCTTACAGTGGGTCCGCGATGCAGGACCATCGTACAGGTCAGGGGGTTTTGTGAGAGGGTCGGAGGAGAATGGCCCAGCCTGGGGAACATCTGACTCGGCGGTTGACCACTTGTCGACGGGAGCGGCCGGTGATGACGGCCGTTGAGAACTCACTCCCTCGGCATCTGGGGGTGCAACACCACGGCTGTGCTGAGGCTTATGCTCCGTGGACACGTGACCCGGCTCGTCGGACACATCACGCACTCAGCCCCGCAATGTGTAGGTGAAATAGAGGAGCGCGGCGTGAGGAAGGGTTTCAGGTGCGACGGGTGGACATACCAACACCGCCGGCCCGACTGAACTTTAAAACACTGGGGACGCACAACCTGGACAATGTCGACAGGGCACCGCCAGGGCCTGAGTAACTTTGGTAACGTTGCCAATGGCACCTGGGGGCAATGGAGCCAGGCCTTGTCTCCTTTTACCCGTACATGTGTGGATGCACGAAGACCCCGCAACCGTTCTGTGGCCCGTTGCCGTCTGCCAGAATTTTCCCTCGCGGCTTCCCTAGCCTCAGACAACTTCGGAAGGTTGAATCATATGTGGTCAGTCAATTTAGATTTTTAGGGGGCCGGATTAACGCGCAGTTGTACCTCCACGGGTGGGTCAACATCTCTGCCGTACATCAAGTAGAAAGGTGAGTAACCGGTGGCCGCATGAGGCGCCATTCTGTATGCGGCCAGGACCCTGGGGATCTGCAGATCCAATCAAGCTGCGATTGGCTCACCTGGTGACACAGCATGGAGGTGAGCATTCTGTGCAAACGCTCGATCATGCCGTCAGTCTGTGGGTGGTACGGGGAGGTACGCATTTTCTGTGTGCCCAACATGTTACAAATGTCCCGCAGCAAAGTAGATTAGTAATTCCTTCCCTGGTCGGTCAGCAGCCGTTCAGGAGCCTTTGTCCAGAACATAGCCCTGGACAAAGGCATCGACGATGGCTGCTGCCAACTGGTTGGGGAGCGGCCAAGCCATAGGCCAGCGCGTGAAGTACTCCACTCCAACCAGCAGGTACTTGTTACCTCGGGGAGTGGCAGGAAAAGGTCCAAGGACGTCCAAGGCGACAAGCCCATTGATATGGGTCACTTGAATGGACTGCAGAGGTGGGCAAGATGGTCGGGCTGGCGGCTTTCGCCGTGCGCAGTGAGTGCAGCCCTGCAGTAAATCAGCCACATCTTTAGCCATGCCTGGCCAAAAAAAGTCAAGTTGGAGCATGACGAGGGTTTTATGCACCCCTAAATGAAAGAGTCGCTCGTGTGCAGCCCAAACAGCTTTACCCTGCAGGGCAGGTGGGCACAACAATGTTGTATCATCACAGGCTGCCGTCCCATGACATTAAGAGGCCATCGCGAAAGACAAATGTCGCGAAACCATCACGGCCCCACTCTCCTTAGACTGTCCGGCCTGACGAAGTTTGAAGAGAGAAATATCGTCCATCTGGAGGCGGCCCCAATCACCATGGGTTAGGCCGAGCAACACATCCTGAGCGAGCATACCCTCAGAATCCCCACAGAGACCCGTCTCGGCCACTGCAGCGAGGTAATAGGGCAAGCTATCGACTGGCTGCTTGCAGCGTCCTGAACCCAGAAAACACGCACACCTGTCGGCCGTCGGCAGACGCGACAAGGCATCGGCATTACAGTGTTGGGTGCGCTTGCAATATTTAACCGTAAATGAATAATCCTGGAGGATTTCTAACCAGCGAGAGAGTTGACAGGATGCTGAATGAAGAACACAATTGCCAACAGCTCACGGCGAGTTACACAATATTGTTGCTCCGCCCGGCTGCCATATGCAATCACACGTTCGACCCCGTCAACAACCTGTGACAAAACTCCTCCCATACCGGTATTACTTGCATCCGTGTCAAGGATG